ATCGACTATGACTAGCGTAGATTCGACAACTTGGGTTATAAGAGTATGTTGAGATATAAGATATAATCCAAGTTGATTAATCCAAGCTCAAACCTAATTAGGGTTTGTTAGCCAACTTAACGTACAAGTTAGTTGTATATAAATAGACATAGTTTGTAATTCAGTTTGTACAATTCAATTCAATAATAAAATCTTATTCTCTCTCTCTCTCCTCACTAAAAGTGTCCCACACACTAACACAACCTCCATCTTCAATCTCCTTTATATGATCATGAAAAGAACTAATATATTAGCAATGAAGGTAGTTGGACACAAGTTAGTTTTTCCATTTCTATTGTAGTTTGTGATTTTTACTTTTGTACTTGTTCATTCATATTTGGAATGGTACTTTCATGTAGTGCTTTAACAATACTTGATTAGTTTTCTGTTCTATTTGAACATTATAAATCTTTGATTTGTGTTGAATATAATTCTACAACTTTGCTATAATACACAATTTAAAGACAAAACACTTCAAATATAATGCAATTCAAATATAATGCAATTAAGCTTATGTATCCAATTATGCTTAAATAGTCAATTTGTCTCTGTAATTTGACGATTTTTTTTCCGTCTCTATATCTTTTTCTGCCTATCTATCTCTATCATCCATCTATTTTGTTTTTCTATCCTTGTATCTTTTTCGTCCCTATATCTTTTTTTCATCCCACTATCTTGTTGCTCTTGAAGAAAAAAAACGCCATGACCATTGTTGAAGACATGCTTCAATGTGTAAAAATAGTTAGAGATGAGGAAAAAGGTGGTTGTAGATGAAAAAAATGGTACACATCTTTACTTTATTGATAAGAGCTTTTAAGAACAAATTTGCCAAAAGCACCATCTTTACTTTATTCTATTGTATTATTAATATTATTATTATTATTATTTTTAATCAATAAAGATTTGATTAATTCAAAAACACTAATTACACATGCGATCACAAACGATCCAGCCTCAAAATACCAAACAGACAAACCAACCAAAAGTACTAATGCATAATCATCTTAACTATGTGTTTTCTAATCTTAGTATTTCCCCGGTCTCAAAACACCAGACAAACCAACCAAAAGTACTAATGCATCATCATCTTAACAATGTGTTTTCTAATCTTAGTATTTCTCCAACCTTTATAGACAATGGTTTCTATAATTTTATTTATTATTATTATTATTATTATTATTATTATTATTATTATTATTATTATTATTATTATTATTATTATTATTATTATTATTATTATTATTATTATTATTATTATTATTATTATTATTATTATTATTATTAAGTATGTACAAGACGATCTCTCACAATCTAGCCTCACAAAACTAACAATCCACAAGAGAATCAAATGAAAAACATACCAAAGGAACCTAAAGCATTAGAGCAGCTACATGCTTCCTAAGGTTCCTCTCACAATCTAGCCTCACAAAACCAACAATCCACAAGAGAATCAAATGAAAAACATACCAAAGGAACCTAAAGCATTAGAGCAGCTACATGCTTCCTAAGGTTCCTATTAGTCCAGCTCCTATAGACAATAGCATCAATAATCAACTCATCTATATTCCTATTATTTACAACCTTTTCCAAAAATTATATCATTTATATACTTCCAAATGGATTAAATGGTTTCTGCAATAGCACTCTTTAGCAACCTAGCCCTCCACCCTTAGCCTTTGGATTTTTGGATCAAACAATTCAACTCCTCATGCCATTCACTCGGGGTTCTGCCTCACTTGCAGCCACAGGAGAACTTTCAGCAAGATTTCCTTCAATTCTTGGCAACCAAAAAATAAATGCTTGCAAGTTTCAACATGATGTCAGAACAAGCACTTGTCATCATCCAGCATACCAAATCTAAACATCCTGTCTTTTGTTCCCAATCTATCATTGCAAGCAAGCCATAGCATAAATTGGGCTCTAGGTCGAGCCAAGTTGTTGTAGAACAGCTTCCTTCAAGGTACCTTGTTGTCATGTGATTCTGCAGAACCAAGTATACACACTTCATTTTAAAAGTGGCCTCTTGCTTTATCACACTCTGCACTTGCTGCTAAGAAAAAAAGCAGAGGAGATACAGGATCTTCCTGTCTAATGCCTCTTGTAGTTGTCATCAGGCTTGTATACCTGCCATTCACATTAAATCTGTAGGCCACACTCCTCACTCTAAGCATAACCCAAGCAATGAATTTGTTAGGGAAGCCAAACTCCTTAAGAATTTGCTCAAGAGTATTCCAATCTACCATATTGTATGCCTTGTGGAGATCAACCTGCATCATACATTTTGGAGTACCATGCTTCCTCTCATATCCCCTGATTAATTCAAAAGCCATTAACACATGATCATGCGCAGGTGCTGCCCTGGGATAAAGGCAACTTGGTTTTTATCTACAATGCAGCCAATCACTTTTCCAAGTCTACTAGTGAGGATTTTAGATATCAACTTGTAAATTGTGGTGCATCAAGAGATTGGGCGATAGTCTTTGATAGCTTTAGCCTCAATATGCTTAGGGATAAGGGAAACCACAGTAAAGTTAACACCTTTATACAGCATATCATGAATGAAAAAGTCTTGAACTGCCTCTTTCACATCCTTACCAACAATACTCCAAGCCTCCTTAAAAAATCCAGATCCAAAACCATCTATACCAGGAGTTTTGTTCACATCTACGTCCTAGAGTTTTAGAAATTTCCATATCAGCGACAGGAGAAATAAGAAATTCTCTTTGGGCCTGGTTCAGATGAGTACCATTTCTCAAGGCATGAATATCCACACCCTCAAGTCTTTCCTCAGCCTCCCCCATAAATGCCCTATAGAACTTCAAAGTCTCCTGCTCTATCTTCTCTTGGGTGCACACAACAGTACCATCTTCCCTCTGCAGGGTCCTAATACTCTTCAGATTGTGCCTAACTTTTATGGAAGCATGAAAATACCCATTATTCCCATCCCCTAGAGGCAGTCAATCAAGCTTAGCTTTTTGTCTTAGGTCATACTCCTCCATCTCATTCCAGTAAGTCACCTGTTCAGTCTAGTTTTTCACTTTCTCAATCTTCTCCTTATTCATTCGATCCCTGCATAAGTCTTTTTGTGCATTCTGTAACTCCTTTATGGCCTTGTCAACATTATGCTTTAGACCATTGAGAGGAATGTTAATCTGTTTCATGACAGGTTTAAGCATTTTGAGCTTCATCCACAACACAAACATATGACTTCCATGCATCACCTCCTTCCAATTTCTCTCAACAGCAGAATGGAAATTATCAAGCTTGGCTAGGAAATTTCTGTACTTGAAGTGGTACCTATTATGAGTGTTCTGAATATCTCCTTGCAAGCATAACATGGCATGGTCTGACACGTTGGGAACCATAACAGTTAGAGTTGAGTCAATGTTCTTCTGCAACCAGTCAATATTCCCTAAATTTCTATTAATTTTGGAGTAAATAGGGCTATCAACTATTAATTTCTCATAGTTGTCATAGTATTGGGTCTTCAGATTCATTTTCTCTCTGATAGCTTTAGCCTTATTGCACTTCACTCTAGTTTCAAGTAGAACAATAATTGTAGGGTTAAGACTCTTGAACCAGGAACTAATCTCTCTAGTCTTCCCTACTTTATTTAGTCCCGTAATATTTCATGAAACAATCATGACACCTTGTCCTACACCACAAGGACATCCTTCAAAATCCCTCCCTAATGGTCCAAAGCCATTGGTGCAAGTGATTTGAGTTGTATCAGCTGCCATTGCAGGTCCTTTATGCTTACCACTACTTACCACTTTAGTCCAATTCTCTTCAAAGTATTCCTTTTCCCCTATTTCCTCCACATTCTTTGTGCTAGGGTCTGCTTGCAAGTCAGCTTGAACTTTAGGTTTGCCACACCTTAGCACTCTTTACTTGATTGTTCTTTTCACATTTGTGACCAAAATTTTTACATTTGTCACAATATTTGGGCTTTCATTCTTATTCCACCACTTATTTCATCTTGTTCCCTTCTGTATCCCTAATGGTGATGTCCTTTGGCGGTTCTTGTGTGATGTCCACTTCCACAAGTATTCTCACATAAGACACCCTCAATCTTTGAACAGTACATTCATATGTAACTATTGGCTTCCCCAAAGCACTCTCAATCTTGTCTAGACATTCTATTTATTATTATTATTATTATTAGGAGTAGGTAAGATGTCTATCATGTTTTAGGTAAGAGTGAGTCTACTTTTTTTTTTTTGTATTTTTGACATAATTTTTTCCACTAATGGTCATGTTTTAGGTAAGAGTGAGTCTACTTTTTTTGTACTTTTGACATAATTTTTTTCACTAATGGTCATGTTTTAGGTAAGAGTGAGTCTACTTTTTTTTGTACTTTTGACATAATTTTTTCCACTAATGGTCATGTTTTAGGTAAGAGTGAGTCTACTTTTTTTGTATTTTTGACATAATTTTTTCCACTAATGATCATGTTTTAGGTAAGAGTGAGTCTACATTTTTTTTTTTTTTTGTATTTTTGACATAATTTTTTCCACTATCTATTATTATTATTATTATTATTATTAGTAGTAGTAGGTAAGATGTCCATCATGTTTTGGATAAAGGTGAGTCTACTTTTTTGTGTTTTTGACATAATTTTTTCCACTACCCAAAAATAAGTAAAGTAGGGTTTTCAATATTAACCAACCCACTTTTCTTCTTCTTTTTTATTGATTCTTTATTATTTTTACTAAAACTATAATTAAAAAATTATTTAGCTTTTATTCTTTAACATACATGATCTCTTTTTTTCACTTTCCATATATATATATATATATATATATATATATATATATATATATATTATATATATATATATATATATATATAATTGTAGAATAATATAAATTTTGACTATTGAGATTACTTTCTATATATGGAATGTATAAGAAAGCACATCATCATAGTGTGGTATATAGCATATGCATATGATTTAGATAATGGAGAAAAACTCAGATGAAGAAGCTTTCCTTTTTGCCATGGAACTATCATTTGCTTCTTCTGTTCCAATGGTTCTGAAAACAGCATTGGAACTTGGAATCATTGAAATCATAGCCAAATCTGGCCCTAATGCTTACCTCTCATCTTCTCAAATTGCTTCTCAAATTCCTTCTATAAAAAATCCAGATGATGCACCTTCTATGTTGGACCGTTTGTTGCGTCTTTTGGTTAGCTACAAAATACTTACTTGCTCCATCCAACATCAAAGTGGTGATTCTAATGAAGAAAGATTGTATGGTCTTCACCCTTTAGCTAAATACTTTGTCAAAAGTAATAATGAAGATGCACATGGTGCCTCCATGAGTTCCTTCTTTCTCATGCAACACGACATAGTCCTTAAAGATATGTGGTATGTACTACTTTTTTCTTGCCTATTTCATTTTTCTAACCCATGTTAATTCCTTTTTTAGTAACATTTCTTAAATATATGATTACATAAATTTTATTTAAGTATTTTTAAGGTATAATCAGTTTTTTAAAGGACATGATTATAAAAAATCTATTTCTTCATTTTTTATTTTATTTTATCGTTTTCAAAACCCTTTGTCTTTTTATGCTACTCTATATTGACTTACATCTCTCGAGCAATAAATTGGTCTATTAAAAAAATAATGAAATCTAATATAAATAATTAAGTTGGTCGATACTAGATGTGAAACTTAATATATTTAAGTCTTCAATAAATCTTTGTAAAAATTATATAGAATCAATCTGATCATTGGATTATTTAATATTATTATGATGATCGTAGATATACAGTACAATTTTAAACAATTTAAATATCAGCTGTATTATATTCTAATTGTTAATATTTATATATTTTAAATAATTTATCGTTGAAATAAACCGATTTGGTAGAATATTAAATAATATTTCAAATCTATAAATTTTTATAGATTTGAAAAAAAAAATTTGGACAGCATAGCAATATATATGTAAATAAAATAAGAAGTGTGAAGAATACAAAACAGTCAAGTGAATCAGTAACGGATCCAAAAAAACAAACATCAAGAGAGGAAAAATAAAAGAACATTCAATAATAAAATCTTCTTACAAATTGAACGCAACAATCAGGGAGGGTTGAGTGCATTTTATTTTTGAACTCTTTTAACGGAACACTCTTTACCAATATATGGGACGTTTATCTTTGTTTATGTGGAGTATTTTTCGATACAAGTAAGTCAGTCTCTTTCTCGATTTGTAAATGTAACAATTGGAGGAGGATCGAGCGAGGAACATTCTACTTTCGAGACTTTCCTTTGTGCAACACACCTTTGTGGGAGACACACCACTTGTTCACCTAAAACCTTAAGGTGATAGGTGAGTGGGTTCTTCCACTTATAAATGCTCAAGTCACCACATTCATATTTAATGTGGGACTATTTCCCCACCCCCACACTTGTTATATTCTCAACAAAAACAACATCAATCACCCACACTATTGAGAAGCCTACACCGAGACACCAGACACAATATTCTCAGAAAAACAAGTTGAAAGACAGTAAACACGACCACCTAAGACACCATAGAAGGGCCGCTGGCCACACAATACGACCCAAAAACGTAGGCACCAAAGTGGGCCTAGTTCTCAATCAAGCAAAGAAAATTCGGGTCACACAACGTGTGCATGAATCCACTTCTAACTCAAATTAATAGTCAAAGTCATCCAGGGATTTATTGCCCTTCTTTCTTGACCAAAAATAAATTTATTTCGCATTTTCAAAACCACCCAAACCATTGAATTCCAAATCAAAACTAGACTTAAAATGGGGCTTCTTATCCCTCCTAAACCCATGGATAACTTTGAAGACCTCTAAGATCAAACGCATGCGAGGAGTCAGAATACCTACCCGCCTAAACACTTTATATCAGAGAGACAGAGAGAAAGAGAGAGAGGAAACCACTTCACGATGGACAAACAAGTGATCCATTGAATCCAACTACCCTAAACAAATGACACACCCCACTACATTATCAACAGACACAATCTAGCATCTAGCAATATTTTGTTAGAGCAACAATTTATCATGACACAACTGCCAAGAAACGACCACCACTTTAGAAGGCCTTAGCTATTCTAGACCCTAGACAAACCCGGGACCTCTCAATCCAACCTATCATCCTCACCATACCCAGACATTCGTCTGACCCTGCTAAAATACATGTTGCTTTAAAATTGTGGTGTCACATGCAGGTATACATGTTATTTTAAAGTAGCAAGTGATAAATTAGTAAGGAATTAGAACTTAGGGAGTGGTAATAACTTAGATTTATTTGTAAAACTTTCTTTTGTAAGTGAGCATGAACAAGAATAATAATATTTGATGGTTGTCACATGTTCAGTTTTTAGAGTAAACAATGATAAAAATATTTTGTCAAGAATAAATGAGATCAATAATGGATATAATGTTGGGAAATGATTTGTTAATATGACTTGTCTATTGTGTGTACATGATGTGCTATGTTGTTCAATAAGAGGTAATAAAGTGATCTTATGGTGTATTCCTACAACATAAAAAACATATACAATAAATCAATGGGACAAATTCCTAAGTCTCCCTTGTAAATTTAATGCATGCTTGGTTTCATTCCAAATATCCTCTATGATTTTAGTTCTTTATGTCTAAAGTATATAATCTATTGAATATTCCTATCCTACTATTTTCAATCATATTTATTATGAGTTCCACTTGTTGATAGATTCTTGACAACAACAAGCTTGTATCTTTTCTAAAGTTGATCAGTCAAAGAATCAAATTTATGGCAGTATAATGTATGATAAAATAAAGCACTAACAACACATCATTCAACAAAAATGACTACGTCATATTAACTTCACATTTCTTAACATAAAGAAGTTTAACTCATGGCGAGCTTAGTACATACATAAATATCATATCCTAAGTTAAACATTCTTAAACACATAATGAAAGAAATGAAAATTTAAGAGTAACTTATTCATCTTCTTGCAATCTTAAATCAACAAGAGATGAGTTTTTTCACGCCAGATATTGGTAGCTTATAATACCTCACAAAAAGTGAGTTATCACTACACTAGCTAACAAACTAAGTAACTCTATCAACAACTCTTCCTCCCAGACTAGGAGTAAATGTCTCCACCTATGATCCTAAATCCAAACACCACCTACACAGTTCTCTATAGAACCCACAACTAGATACTTTTGCTCAGAGATGAGGAAAAGTCTCTCAAAAGAAACACACAGCCGGGTCAACCCCGCCAAATATCATGCTAGAACCTGGTTTTCAAACCACCCCAACCACATTACAAGAAGAGGTAAACCAATATGACTGATGACTGAGTGAATAACCAAGACTGGATACTCATCTCCTCCAATGTGAAGTCTTCCTTAAACCACCTCATCCACCCACCTCTCCCTAACCCAAAGAGCAGTTAAGCTATTCCTCATAGCTCATTGCCTCAAGCAAGCATGTAAATACCCTGAGTTTGCACCTACTTCTTTAAGCCAATTCGCCCTCAAGAGATGGAAAAGTTAAATGTCTAGACAACAACATCATGAATGCATTAAAGTCACCTAGAACATACAATACGACCCCTTAAACCACCCTAGCACGAGTATCAACTACTCCCGCATCAACCTCTTATGCTCCAAAGAACACTTAGCATAAACATTCATCATAAAGCAAGCCCCCCTTTCCCAATCAGGATATACCCCAAGATAACCCAGACCCGAGAAAGAGAAGATAAATATCTCTTTCACATTGCACCCAATAGATAGAAACCCCCATTTGCACCCTATAAAATAATAAAACTCCAATAACAAAAGAAGCTCTCGTAGAGACTATGGCACAAAGACTCCCCCACCTAACTTAACTTAACCTCATGATAACTAAGAAATCTAGGTGAAGGTCCTTAATCAAATTCATCACCTTCCTCTTCTTAATACTTACCCCAAGACCCCTAACAATGAAGGAGTCAATAATAATTGGAAACCAGCAGAATCCCTATAAGACTTTCCTAAAGTGTGTTGCTGCTTCCAACTGAACAAGCCTATGAATCTAGGATTCATCTAAGAAACATTCTAATAGTTTGGAACCAACCCCAAAGAACCCCTAGACAAAACACAAAATCTTGAAAAAATCATTGGATGGACAAGATAAAAAGCAACTGAGTATGCTCCATCACTATCAGTTCAACCAATTCTATAACTGGATCACCAAAAGACACTACATCACTGGGCATAAAAAAAACTATAAGATAGCTAGATATGCTTACATGAACATGTCTTATAAAGAGAAATATTTGTCTTCACCTGCCTCCCTTGCATCAAGCACTTGAGGAAGATCTATTTCCCAATCCTCAAAGTAGAACTACACTAATGATGAAGCCCCCACCCCATATTGCGCGCCTCAAATTTCTCATAAGAAATATGTTCGACCATAGAATGTTAGAAAAATATGAGACTTTGAACACCATAACCATCTCGAAAGAGGAAGAATTCTCCACTGACCCTCTTAGCCACCATGAGGAAACACCATCACCAAGAAAACTAGGAGAATAAACTTCCTGGTTATTAGAAGTGATTGCAACCAAATACACATGAAAAATAACTGGACCAACCAATTCCAAACTTTGATTCAACCTAAGCCTTTTTACCATAAGTAGACACATTGGTTGGGAAAACATCTGACCCATTAACACCTTCATATCCTGTACGTGATACTTGCCTCAAGAGCTAAAACTTATTGCTGGAAATTCCTGAGTTGGATGGAGAAAATGAAAAAGCTTAGTGTACACGCGTATTAATCCCATCAGGAAAAAAGCCAAATGACATCTCTACGTCATTGCCTTCTAACATTGGCGCTAACCTCGAACCCTCTTTTATTTTCAGTCGCATGTCTATTAGAGAGAAAGAACATGTAAGGATGCATTTTCTCCTAACTCCTGACACATAACCCGCATTGATTGAGACATTACTATCTTTAACTCTAAATCCAGCTTAAATTATACTCCTTTCGTTTTAAAATGAGCGTCGTTTAAGGTTTTTATATAAAAATTAAAGAATGTAATAATAGTATCATAAGATATTGCATTTTTACTATATTAACCTTATAAATGTGTTGGAAGTAGTGTAGAGAGTAATAATTAAAAGGCATAATTTGAAAAATAGCAATCATTTCTACATTGAAAAGTAAGAATGACATTCATTTTGAAATAAATTTTGTTTGCTAAAATGACACTCTTTTTAAAATAGAGGGAGTATCACCAATAAAGTCTCATTCCAAAAGTTCAAAACTATTAGCCAAAGGTATAACCTCATTTGTCTCACAAGTATCCATCCCTCCATTTGAGCCCATACAACTACTTTTTCCCTTTCCTTGTTCCTTACCACACACGAACAACTTCCTTTTCTATTAAAATTTCAAATTCACATCCAACTCCTTCTCCAATGGAGGATGCCAACACCTGACCGGAAAAGCTTATATCCTTCTTCACTAAGCAACACCTACTGATACCTCCATTTCTTCAAGAAAAAATTGATAAAGGCTTGCATTCCCAAGTTGATTTGAACAACTTCACTTAATGAGGAATGAAGAAGATACTGTCACCTTCACTCTACTAAAAGTGTATGAATATTAGGCTAAGGTTCCCTAATCTAATTTAATCATATTACCAAACAAACTACCAAGTTTTCAAAAATGGTCTCCCCCCAACATGAAGAGGAACGCCAACCATCCTCAACCAAACTACCATTTCCCTATACAAACCATCTTCCTTCTAGAAACTCACTGGATCAAAAATAAGGGACCACCACTCTCAATCTTTAGCTAGAAAGGAAGCAAGAGCTCCCTCCATAGAAGAACTTAAGAGAATCTGAAAGCCTCCCATAGAAGTAGGCTTGATATGCGAGCATCCATTTTTCCAAAGTGATTCCCTCACACGTTCAAATCTCATAAGAGATTTAAATATTCCCACTAAACAAGAGGCTATGAAACAAACTTGTTTTTGGGATGAGGAGAGCTCGGGCACTCTAGTCGGAAAGAGGGAGACTCTCCCAAGAAAAGGAGGAGGTAAATTAAGTGGATGAACACGAGCACAGGAGGAGACACCTTTCAGCACCTTAGATAATAACTTTATTGAGGAAACATCACCCACTTCTTCCTTTCCAACTAAGATATCCCCTTTCCCTTGCTTGTTAAATCTCCTCCCAACACCTTTGTGAGAGACACGCCACTTATCCACCTAAAACCTTAAGGTGATAGGTGAGTGGGTTCTCCCACTTATATATGCTTAAGTCTCCATATTCCTATCCAATGTGGGACTATTCCCCACTTGTATCATCGTTGACAAGTCCCTTCTGGTCTCTTTCTCGAACCAAAGACTCATGATATCATGTTGGGAGGAGTTACTAGGAGCATCGATATATAGTGTAGGAATAGACACCTTTGTGAGAGACACACCACTTATCCACCTAAAACCTTAAGACACACCACTTATCCACCTAAAACCTTAAGGTGATAGTTGTGTGGATTCTCTCACTTATATATGCTTAAGTCTCCACATTCCTAATCAATGTGGGACTATTACTCACTTATTCACAATTGCTATATTATTCCAACACCCTCCCTCAAGTGCGAGTCCACAATGCTCCCTCCTTGTACCGCCATTGACATCTTGCAACGAAACACCACTTCTTAAGCATATTTCGATACAAGTCCCTTCTAGTCCCTTTCTCGAACCAATTGCTCATGATACCATTTTATTAGGGAAAGTTACTAGAAGCATTGATACATAGTGTAGGAATAGACACCTTTGTGAGAGATACACCACTTATCCACCTAAAACCTTAAGGTTATAGGTGAGTGGGTTCTCTCATATATTATCAAGTCTTCACATCCCTATCCAATGTGAGACTATTTCCCCACTTACTCACACTTGTTATATTATTCCAACACCACTCACTTCTTCCTTTCCAACTAAGATATTCCCATTCCATTGCTTTCTAAATCTCCTCCAAACACCCGCTTTCTACACTTTCAAAATTTGGTATGTTAATCCTCATCAAATTCCTTCATCAGAACCTTCTCCAACAGCTCTTTAAGAAGTCCCAAAATTCAAAACCTCTTTAAACTTAACAAACACAAACCTATTACCTCTTTTGTCTCTCCTAGGCAGATTAAAAACATCTCCCACCAAAGCAAAATGGGAAAAAAAAATCGTCTCAATTCTCATTTGGTTTCCTTCTCAAGGTAGTTAGATAAGAAGAAAGAAATTCACCTAACGTCAAGAGGATTGACAAAACCTAGTAAACATCTCTTCACCACTTCTTCCTTTCCAACTAAGATATTCCCCTTCCCTTGCTTCTTAAATCTCCTCTCAACACCCCCTTTCTACACTTTCAAAATTTGATCTGTTAATCCTCGTCAAATTCCCTCATCAGAACCTTCTCCAACAGCTCTTTAAGAAGTCCCAAGATTCAAAACCTCTTTAAACTTAACAAACACAAACCTACTACCTCTTTTGTCTCTCATAGGCAGATTAAAAACATCTCCCACCAAAGCAAAATGGGAAAAAAACCGTATCAATTCTCATTTGGCCGCCTTCTTAGGGTAGTTAGATAAGAAGAATGAAATTCACCTAACGTCAAGAGGCTTGACAAAACCTAGTAAACATCTCTTCACCATAACCACCAAACTAGATAATAAAACAAATGCAATGAATGATCGAATGTAATTACGATTGAGAGCATACAAGTTATTGATGAAAGTTTTTGATGCAAGTTTAAGATTAATGTATTACGGGAACCCGTAACAGGCCACGTGTTTTTGTGTTGGGACGTGAAATCAAGAGCCTATAAGTTGGGGCTCTATTACGGATTGTAACGTGTATTACGGACACCCGTAATAAAGCTCTGGTTTTAGTACTGGAGATTTCCGACTTCTGCATCTTCTTCACAATTCATCTGATTTGATCTTCTTTACTTCCAGTATGTTTGTTAAGTCCTGAAAACAATAGAAACACAATACCAAAGTATAAATCATATCAAAAATGAAGGAAAAACGGAAAAAAAAAATAAAGTAACAAAGTAAAACTTCTAATAAAAACGATGCAAAAACCACTTATTATCTGAAAATATAGCTCTTCCTAAGAATTTTATTCTTTTATTTCTTTAGGTGCTAGGGCGAATACATGGGAAATTTGTCTATGATTAATGTCGGGGTCTGGACAATTAGGAAGGACCATAATAAAGTATGCATCAACTCAAGAGTATTGGACATTCAACACGAAAAATATATTTTTTATATGACTATATTTTTGTAATTGTAGGTACCACTTAACAGATTCAATTAAAGATGGTGGACTTCCATTTAATAATGCTTTTGGAATGAATGTTTTTGAGTTTCATGCCATAAATCCAAGGTTTAACAACCTTTTCAACAAGGGTATGTCTGATTCCTCTAGTCTCATAATGATGAAAATTCTTGAGACATATTCGGGTTTTGAGGGTCTTGAATCTGTTGTTGATGTTGGTGGTGGGATTGGAACTGTTACTTACATGATTGTCTCTAAATATCCCAACATTAAAGCCATTAATTTTGACTTGCCACATGTCATCAACGAAGCTCCATCTTATCCAGGTGCTTATTTTATTTACAATCAAATTTGAGAAATAACATTTTTTATTTTATTTTAAAATTGAATAATGCATGCAGGTGTCGAGCATGTTGGAGGAGATATGTTTGTAAGTGTTCCAAAAGCTGATGCCATTTTCATGAAGGTGAGGAGCAATGTTTGAAAATTTTGAAGAATTGTTATGTTTCACTTCCAGATACTGGAAAGGTAATAGTAGTTGAATCCATAGTTCCAGTAATTCCAAACTCTAGTCAAGCATCAAAACATGTGCTTCAAATGGATGTTATCATGTTGTGTCATAGCTCAGGTGGAAAAGAAAGAACACAGAAAGAGTTTGAGGCTTTGGCTAGGGGAGCTGGATTTCAAGGTTTCCAAATTGCATGTTGTGCTTTCAATATGTATGTTATGGAGTTTCTTAAAAATGCTTAACATGTTATCATCTTCTATCATTTGTATCTTGATTCCAATGAATAAATCATTTGTATTTGCTTTTTGTCGTAAGTCTTTAGTTGTAGTTCTATTTTAGAAACTTTGGTTAACAAACATTGATTACGAAGTTTGTTGGTTGATCATATAATGAAATCCAACTCTTTTTTTTTTACAAAAAATAAAATTTTATTTTCACAATTTGTTAATAGCTATTACTTGAATTACAAGTAATTAACTATTCTTCCTCCATATTGCATCAATCTCAATTTGTTCCAACAAAATGAAATAACAAGTCTGATTTTTTTCATCCTTCAGTCTCTAATTAAGATTAATAGAAAACTTGAATACCTCAAATTAATTTCCTGCAAATTTGTCATTATTCAAAAGAAGTCATTATGATAGATGGTGTATACAAATCAAGGTGATATTCAAATTTCAAGATGTTCTTGAAATTGTGAATAATGAAATTACAATATAATGCAACACGCTTGCAAAAAACATTGCATCGCAAATCATAATTCATTAATGTGTGGATTCAACTATCTTTAAAAAGATATAATTGGAGAAAAAGAAACTAAAAGGATGCATGAGACACACTTAAGAACATATAGTGGTTATGAATTGCTCAAAATATTCAAGTTTCAAGCACTCAAAGACCAATATAAAATTGACAATGAATGAAAAATAATCAGTGGTTTGATTTCTCGACCACAACATTAGTGGTTTTGAATAATCAAATGAAAGCATGTGGTGAAAGAATTATTAAGTTGATGAAATTTGAGAAGGTTTTGAGAACCTTGACTCCAAACTTTAATTACATTGTTTGTCCAGTAGAAAGAATCAAAGGACCTTACTCCAACAAAGATTGAAGATCTTCAAGCCTCCATAGAAGTTAATAAGCTAAGAATAAAGCAAAGGAATTCAGATAAAATTATTGAGCAAGCTATGTAGGCCATGATAAAGAATCATGTTGTGGAATTAAGCAAAAGTAACATTGCCTGTAACAAAAACTTCAAGAAGAAAGTTGACAAGAAAGATGTGCAATGTTACAATTGTTAAAAGTATGACCACTATGCAAGAAACTCCTATGTTTATAATGTACAAGAAATTTAAGCTACATGTTGAGAAACAAAGTGAATGTAGCTTAAAAAAATTGAGGACATGCATGGGGTAGAGATGAATATATTTCTATGAAATTTGCAGAATTTTGTGAGAGGTAAAAAGTAGAGAACAAAGTCATTGCACCATATACACCACAATATAATGGCATATGAGAAAGAAACATATAATCATATTGAATATGGCCAGAAATATGTTAAAGTAAAAGAAAATGGTGCATAAGTTCTAGGGTGAGGTAGTCTGAACTATTGTGCCCATCATAAACAGAAGTCTAACCAAGAATCTAGTATTGATCATTTAAGATTTTTGCTTAACTATGTTTTAGACATATTCCATAGAAGATCAGAAGAAAACCTGATGATTAAAGCAAAGTAATGGTCTTCATGGGCTATCATTATACAAGTGCATAGAAATCGTATGCTCCAAAGAAAACAAAGTTATGATATTTGATGAAAATAAAGGTTGGAACTAGAAACTCAACACATAAAGCATATGTTTTATCAATGAAGTTTGAAGTGAATATAATACAAAAGTTGTATTTAAGAGTACCAACTTAACATTGAGATTTTTTGAATAAAGCCTGAGAAGATCAAGTTGAGCTATATATAATTGTTATTGTATTTAAAAATAGAAATTAATATAAATATATTAATCAAAATTATTACTATAATCAAATATAATATAAATATATTAATCAAAATTATTACTATAATCAAATATTTGTAGTGGCCAAAACTTGTCTTGAATAAATAGGACCTTGGTTAGTTAACCAAGTGAATACAAAAACAAGATTGAGGAGTGAAAATTATGTTCTTTAATTTTTTAAAATATTTTCGCAAACTATTGATTTTAATGTTGATTCTTTTTCAAGTGATGAGAAGAAGAAATGAGTCAAATTCAAAAAATTAATATATATATATATATATATATATATATATATATATATATATATATATATATATATATATATATATATATATATATATATATATATATATATATATTGATCTCGACTGGGTCATGAAGTCGGTGGAGAGGACACCAAAGCTGGTGATCGGCTCTTAACAATAGAGGATACCGGAAGGAGATGCAACTCGGCTAACGTTGTTGGACGACACCATACCTCTGGGTAGCAACCCATGTGCACCATCAACCCAGGCACTGCTCGTAACCGGGATCCACTTACCCATAGTAGGTTGTCAACCCGACTCACTAATGGTTGTAATGGCCGCCGACACATTTACTCTAATGTTACATGGCTTTGAACACCTTCATTGAAGGTGACGGCGGCTGTTACACATTTACAAAATCCAAGGGTCACACCATGATTGAGGCTCTTAAATGACGTTAGAAGAGGATTATATAAGGGGCTCCTGCAAGAGGGATAAGCAAGACACTTTTCTTAGGCAATACACACTATTAGCATAACTCCCAAATCCCCACATATTTGACAAAAATCTACCTTTAAGGCTCTCCTTATTCCTATAAGAAAGTCAACCATTTATTGTTCTAACGCAAGAACATTGGCGCCTACCGTGGGGCCTCAGTAAAATTGTCTTAGGCCACACCTCAAAACGTATTCACCGGAATGTTATCTGAAGGAGATCTTCCTTACATGGCGCAGTTGTTGGCTTGGTGAAGGCCCTCAGACAGCAGAACAAAACTTTACAAGACAGTGTAGATGACGTACAACTCAAAAGCTTGAGAGATGAACAATTAGAAGTGAAGCTTCTAGAGCCTCAGCCATTGTCTCAAGCCATATGGAACGACCAGGTCCCAAGGAATTTTAAATCACCATCGCTTGAAATTTACGACGATAAAACTGATCCGCAGGAGCATGTTATTACCATCAACAATCAAATGGAAATAATAGACATTACTGACTCGCTGAAATGTAAGTTGATGGCTGGCACCTTCAAAGATATAGCTGTAAGATGGTATACGAGCCTACCGCGGATATCCGTAGAGAGCTACTCGAATTTGACAAAGAAGTTGGTTCAACATTTCTCAACCAATAGACACCGTAAGGTCTCAACAACTACTTTGTTCAATGTCCGACAAGGACATGCAGAACCTTTGTGGGAATACCTGTCCCGGTTCAACAAAGAGACCATAGAAGTCTCTTATCCCAATCAAGAGTTGTTCATTGGGGAACTTTAGCACGACTGTCGAGTCGGGAAATTCAACGAGTCCCTAGCATTGAAATTGTCATCCAACATGGATGAGATCATCACCAGGGCCGAGTGCTATATAAAAGGTAAGGAAAGACACTGGGAGAAACGATCCAAGGACACCTCTGAGAAAACTAAGACTAAATAAGAGGGGTTGGGAAGGAGGCCAGAGTCTTCCCAAGCTGCCCCGAGAGACAGACCCCGGAAGCGCACAACTCAAAGGCCAAGCCGACAACCCTTTGATCTAGATGAAGATTTGACGCTGCTAAACACTAGAAGAGGTGATATCTTGCAAGAAGTTGGACGTCTGAACCTAATCTCGGAAGCGCCCTGCTCGAAGAGGGTCAATTCCGTGAAGGGAAAAGACATTGGGGCTTGGTGTAGTTATCATAGGCTCCAAGGACACCACACTGATTATTGTAATTAGTTGAAAAAAGAAATCAAGGCATTGATACATAGGGGACATATTTTGACTTACGTAAAGTATGGTAAAGCCTCAGCCGGGAAAAGAGATACTCTGAGAGAGGATGCAGACTCAGAGAGACCCTCTAAGAAAAAGGGGAAGGGTACAGATGAAGTACATGAAACTAAAACAGCTCGCCACACGCTCAACATTATTGCTGGTAGATTTGATGGTAGTGGGGAGACCAGCTCGGCCAGGAAGAAATATGTCCGGGCCGTGGTGCATGTGTCTGAAGACGTAACCAAAGTCTGAGAGTAGGATTTAAATCATGTTAGCTTCTCTAAAAAGGATGCAGTTGGAATTATGGCTCACTAAAATGATCCAATGGTCATTAAGGCACAAATTAGAGATTGAAGCGTGAAGAGAGTGTTGGTGGATTCTAGGAGTTCAATTAACATGCTCTATTATGACACCTTCAAGGGAATGGAATTTGATACGATCGAGCTATTACCCTTTAACGGTACCTTAGTCAGATTCTCTGGAGAACATGTGCGAGTATTGGGACACCTCTCGGTACTTACTACTTTCAGAAGCGGTGCAAATGCCAAAACGGTCAGAGTATGATACCTGATTATCAATGCTGCTTCACTCTATAACATCATTGTAGGAAGAACATCATTTAATTCCTTAGAAGTTGCTTTCTCCACCTTATACCTCACTATGAAATAATTCCTAGGGGATGGTTGGGTTGGGATGGTCAAGGACGATCAAGGTTTAGCAAGGAAATGTTACAAAGACAGTCTGAAGTTAAAGAAAAGGTCCAATTCGGATACTCGAGTATTCCAATAATCTTAAAGTCAACATGTTTGATATAGACCCGAGCGATGATTCGTCAGGGGAAAGTCTATCTCCTCATAACGAAACGAAGAAAGTCCAGATTGGCAGTGCATCCTCTGAGATAACCTATACCAGTCTCAACCTCTCCCAGGAAGAAGAGTGTCGTACCCCAAAATTTTCCCTGTCATTTCTCAAGGATTCTCTCACAAGGTCTTCTATGACGTCAAGTTTGCAGTACTGATACATCAATTTAGACTTGGAATTGACACAAGGGCAAAATGGTCATTTGCACACTGAAAAGCCAAACTTTAACTTTTGATCAAAATCAAGTTTTAAGAATCATATTTAATCAAGACACGTTGAAATATGAAGTTTGTTTCATCAGGGAATTCGAAAATCAAAATTCTAAAATACTTAGAATCTTTCTAAGTGTATAAGAAACATGACAAGCTCAGAACTTCTAATCAGAT